ATGGCGCGGAGAGCAGGAGAGAGGGGATTGTGGTATTTTGCGCTTCGCCATGCAGGCGGCAAAACGCTGAAGGTCACTAAAGGTCGCGCGCAGGGAAACAACCAAGACCAAGTAAAAATGCGTTGCTTAGACGTTTGCCAGGCGAAGGTAGGCAAATGTGGCAGATAGGAATTGGCAATGAAGGGGGCGGTAGAGTGAATAAAAAAAGCAAGCAGATTAAAGTTTAAAAGTCGTAGATCGCACTTGATGAATCAATTAAGCAGCGGTTCGGCGGTTTTACGGCTTAATCAAGCAAATGCCAAGGTGTAAAGTCGCGCGCCGTAGGTCTTCCTTCACTGGGTAGTAGCGCCGGGATGGGTATGTGCGGTGGTAGTACGCAGGTTGGGGTACACGCGAATGTTTTTCACACAAAATGTTTCACTTAAAAAAATTAAAAAATTATCAAAGAGTTAAACCTAAAAATATATAATAAAATAATACAAAAAAAAAAAAATTAAGTAGTCTGCGGGCACACCGACCGATGAATGGCTGATAAGGAACGCTTCAGCATTTTTACGGGCGTGTGGACGGACTGCAACTGCAATTCGGAACTTGTTAGGCAAGCGCAACTGCGAGCGCGTGTGGAGCCCAAAAGCCACAACAGCAGCTTGATTATTGCTATATTCAGTGTTATTTTTTTCTTTTAAAAAAATTTTTACTCTTATTTAATTATTGCTAACTAAATTTCGCTTCGCTCAGCAAACGTATTTGTTTATTTAACTGTTATTTATTTCTTGTTTTTTTTTTTGCATATTTTTCATATCAGTTTTGCGATTACATATTCGCTTTTTAACTTTCTTCATTTTCATTTTCTTGCTTGCCGCTTATTCTTGTAGTTATTGTATTTATTGCAGCTGATTGTAAATTATTAATTTGAAGCTTGAAACGTGCGGGCGTTTATTTTTTAATTTTTATTTTTTTGCTTAACGTCTTTTGCTCGAACTTACTGCTCATTTTGTATTAACTGTAGTTGTTGTTTTAAAAATAGAAAAAAATATTTTTTTATTTAAATATTTCTTCTCAATAATGCACAAATTTTCACTTTTATTCAGCACTAATTTTTTTTTTGTCGATTCTTGATAATTCACTGTGTTTTAGGGTGGCCTGCTTTTGCCCAACTGACTGACTGACTGATCTGTCTGCCTGTCTTTATGAGACCCGTTCTACTCAGTCTCTTTTCAGGCGTTTCAACTTGTGGCGCTTTCCTTTTTGCTTAGAGAGACAACGTTGCTGTTCCGTACACGAGCGGCGAGAAACTGATTCCGTGGTGTGCCGTTCAACTGCAGCAAAGCGCGTATAGCCCGTCAGCTATGAGTCGACCTCCCCTTTTAGAGCGTATTATTATTTGGTCTTTTATTTTTTTCGTCGTCTTTTAATGTTCACTTTTATTTTGTTTCACATATAGTTATACATACTTTTATGTATGTATTGGTGCGTCGCTTTCTATCGAAATCGACTCGAATTCTTAAAGCGCATCAATTTTGTTGCTGCTTATTTGGATATTTCTGTTGATTTTGCATTTGCTACTTTTATTGCTGCTACGAACACTACTGCGGTGGGGGGGCTTATTTTGTATTTTGTATTTTTGTATTTACCACTCACTGTGTTCGCCCACATACGGTGCGTTGTTGGCGCTGGTTGTGATTGGATCAGTGCGCCGGGGTCCTCATCACGAGTGTATTGGAGTTTGGGGAGAATGTAGTGAGCGAAATTAGTTGTTGATGATGATGTTGATGTTGATAATGATGTTCAAGCGGCAGACAAGTACTCATTTTAGCACTCAACTAAAACATTTCTTAATCAGCGTTAAAAGTAAAGAGTATTTGACTTTAGTGGCGCACACGAGAGCGACGCTAATTTAAGAGACTACAAAGAGAAGACTAGCGCGGTATATAGTAAAAGAGATTTAAGAAGCAGGATGTCGAAAAAAAATTATTTATTTTTACAATAAGAAATGTATATACACTGGGCGATAAATGAAAGTGTACATCTTATTATAATAAAATATTCAAAATTACTATTTTCATTGAAAATTTTTTTGCATTAGTTTTTGATGCAAATATATACCATTCTAAACCATATAAATTAAAGTTTCACATTTTATATAAAGTTAACAAAAATTAAAAAAAAATGTCATACAAATTTCCAATCTTTTATTCAGAATTTATAGAAATTTTTCGAGTATTCAGTTTTGTAGCGCATTCAATTTGAGTCAAATGAAGTGCAAGTTTCAACCGGCTAAAAAAAGCGTTGATTTTTTAGAATTGTTTTTCTTTTTTTGGAGACTGCTTTTGCGGTTTGTTTTTATATATAACAAGTCCACTTTACAAAAACTGGCGTTAATTTTGTGAAATTTTTTAGCTAACGGTCTCTCGCATTCTATTTCATTCGAAATGCATGCTAATAGGGAAAAAAGTACAAAAATCCGCCACCAAAAAAATCTCAAAAATCAACCGTATCACGCAAACATTCATTCGTCATCGAACAACCATCATCAAACTCCTTCACTACAAAAAACGTTTCAAAATTTATCATAGAAAAGTTGATTTTTCGCTGGGGTTGGGATACTAAACCTGGTGTGAACAGTTTATAAATTTTGATGCTTTTTATTTTAGTAATATTAGACATATTAGACCTAAAGTCATAAATGTGTAGATACTACTACTAGAACTTAAAAATGTTGACTAATGGGCAGGTATGCCCTACCTCGAAACCCATCCTTTATCTTATTTGGCACTCCAACCATGGACGTAGCCAGAATGAAATTTAGGGGGTCGTATTATTAAGCTAGCATTTCAGGGTACTATTTATAGTACCCTTGGAAGTTAGTGGGGGTTGGTAGGTTCGAGCCGGGATGATTTAGATATTCATTCATTTTCAACAACTTAAATCGATAAAATTGCTTCAACCTCTCCTACCATAAAATAAATAATAAATAAATGGGTTTGAAACCCACTTTTTTATTTAAAGTGGCGTTTTTATTTTTTCTCTCTGACATCAGGATATATTTTAAAGGACTTTGTAATTTCAATGGTGTGATTAATTCCAAAAATTAATTAAAAAATCAATACAAAGTAGAATAAACATATGGGTAACAAATGAAAAGAAATTTCTTTAGAGTTTAAAAAAATAAAAAAATTTAGATTCACGAGTACCACTAGGTATTTTTTTAAGCTGATAACGTTAGAAGGACGAAATTCGAAACAAATAATTTGAAATTTCAAGGATAAAAAAAGGACATTTTCAATATGCATCAAAAATTTAATCTGATTAAATTCTACAGAATTTCCTCTTTAATTTTGTACCCATACTTCTTTTCTAAGCACATTTCACTGAAATGCTTAAATCATTTTTGAGTTACTGACGTCAAAGTGAAAATCTAAAAACAAAAGTATGCAATATTCGGCCCATGGTTTCGCGAATATATTGATTTTTATGTGTAAAATTTACTATCGCAGGAGCTAGACATTTATAAAAAATATTAATTATTAAATAATAAAACATATATAGCCAATACTGGTCAAGTTCAAATTACAAATCCCGAAAATCCCTGGATTATTTGCCAATCGTATTTCGTAATTTCATCTTCTTCAGCATATGTCGAGAGCAGTGCCTAGCGGTTTGCCCAAGCTGGATGGATACTATTCCCTTCACCCGTTCTAAAAACCTATCCCATTCCTCCGTCAGCTGCTCTACTGGCAGGTCCCCACACCTATCCAGGACCCTAGTAGCCGCATTCCTATTGTAGTAAGACTGCTTGGAGTTGCGGATATGCTTAGCCGAGGGGCGGACATGTGGTAGCAACCTGTCTTGAACTGCTGGGTATGTCAGTAGCAGCTCGCGGGTTTAACATTAAAGCAGGTGTCAGGGGATATTTTGGGGTCTGGTTCCCTTAGGTCGAGCTGACGCCGCAGCTCAAGCCATGAAATGATTGGAGGCCGGTCTGCCCAGGCCTCCGCTTCCAACCTGCCCGCCGCATTACTCATACCAGGACCAGCCCTGCTCTATATCCTGTCAATGTCGGTCTGACCAATGCCCTGTCCGCGGCTGTAACACTAGTCGGAGCCACCGCTGTAGGTTTTTTTGGAGCGTCGTCCTCATAATTTTCATAATTTTTTTATATTAGAAAATTAACTCATATTTTTGTACCACGAGTGTCGTTTGTCATTTGCACTGGTAAGGCTAGATGGAGTCGGAGGTCGCCAGGTACCCGGAGAATCCCGTTCGAGACTGGGCTAATTATTAATCTGGGCCCGGCTGAACATCAGCATAATATTCCTAAGTGGTTGCAATGAATAATTTCTCAACCTATAAAAGAAAATCTATTACAAATTTAAATTCACTTCGCCGCACAGCTGATTATTTTCGCTGCGGACCACCAAAGCCAATGCGCATGACCATACAACAGCCACCCACATCAATGGGAGCAACAATAACAACACGCACAAAACCACTTGAGAAAAGAAAAGTACAAATGAACCGAAATAAAACTAAATCAACACAGAGAAGCAAACCGCAAATCGGCGAAAAAATGCGATTCTCTCAAGTCGACATTGCACAGTGTAACGAGTGCGACCAAAAATAATAAAAATTAACGAATTCGGAAAAAATTGAATGCCAATCGACCTTAGATACTCGAGTATAATCAGACAGAATGTAAATATTTTTACCAAAATTTTGATTTGCACTTTTTTCGTTTTTGACATACGGTATTTGTATAAAATTTGTTACTGAATTAAGAATTAAGAATTTCTAATGGGTTGGCGGGGTGCTGTCATTTTTAATTATTATGCTTAAACTACTGTATACATACTTTATACGCCTGAAGTTCATAGCTTTTCCCCGTTGTTATTTCAAATATAAGCATAAAGTTCCAAACAATAAAAGTACATTTCCTGTTAGAGGGAAGTAAGTATGCACGATTGAAATAAATTAATTTATTTCCGCTGCAACTAGCGGCAACTCTTTGATTCGCAGCCATATTTTTGTAATACAACCTGCAATACAAAATCTCAACTTTGGCAGGTGGGCGTGGCAGTAGACCAACCTTAAACATTTTCATATATGTTAAAGAATCTTTCACAAATATAAGTCGGACTAAATTATGTATATAAAACGAATTTTTTTAATTTCCAGTTTTATAGAAGGTAGGCGTGTTCTTCATCAAATTTTGCTCAAATTTAAAATTTTTCCTACTATACACCTCTGTGCGAAATTTTTAATTGATCTGCGACCACCCCTTCTACTTTTGGCCACCCACAATATGGGGACGTTACACTGTGCGTCGCCGTCAACAACAGCCACCAGCGCCACAGTCACGTGTAGCTTTGGAGTAAGGGTGGGTAACTCAGCAAATTTATAGGAGTTGACTCAATGACTCCAACTTACTTTAAGGAGTCAGCTCATTCAACTAACTCATTTGACTCTTTGTATGTTACACTCATTCGTATCGTAGACTCGTTTTGAGGCATAGATGCGGTATAGCGGCCGTTGAGATAAAACAAAACTTTAAAGTGGGCGTGGTCAGCTCCTTTCTACTGATTTGAAAGGTGTAATTTTTTTTGTGTGCAAATTAATAGGGCGGTGCTAGGGGGAGGGTAAAGGTGGAATTATCAATATTTTCAAAAGCTTATATTTCGAAACCTATTGTACCGAATTTCAAAATGTGGATATGGTTGGAAAGGCAATTGATTTGATATGCACATCTTTATATATCTTACATACATACATATTTCGAGAAAAACTAAAAAAAAAACGAAATTATAAGAATTTGTGAGATTTGACATAACACCCGCAATACAAAATATATGTGGTTGTTGTTGTTGTATTCTTGCCACCACCTTGTATAAATTCGCCTAGCGAGAGAGTTATATGGACAAATATGAGCCACTATGATTCAATTGATTCATGTGAGCCCTACGGCATCAACTGAGTTACTGAGTTACATTTTTTTTGGACAGGGAGTCTGAGTTACCGATTCACTTATAGGAATCAACTCAATAACTCAACTCTGAGTTGAGTTACCCACCTCTACTT